AAAAAAATTAAAAAAAATAGAAAAAAGAAATGAACTTTGGAAAATATTGCAAATATAAGTTTGTAATATAGTAAAAAAAGATACAAAGGATAAATGAAATGAAAAGTTGGTTCTTGGAAAAAAAAACCAAATTTTATATACTGCTAGCTAAACTAATCAGACAAAGGTGACAGTACAGCTGATTCCACAGAAAGACAAAAGATGCTCAAAGACTACGGTGAGCATCTCTACATGCACAAACTAGGATACCTAAAAGAAATGGATAAATTCCTGTAAACATACAACCTCCTAAGTTTGAACAAGGATTAAACAGAAATCCTGAACAGACCAATATTGAGTTATGAGATTGAATCAGTAATAAAAAATTTTTCAACCAAAAAAAAGTTCAGTGCCAGATAGATTCACAGCCAAATTTTACCAGATGTGCAAAGAAGAGCTGGGACCAATCTTACTGAAATTATTCTGAAAAATCAAGGAGGAAAGATTCCTCTCTAAAGCATCCTATGAAACCATTATCACTTTAATACCAAAATCAGACACGGACACAAGAGAAAAAACAAACAAACAAAAATAAACCTAAAGGCTAACATTGATGAACATAGATGCTAAAATCATCATACTATCAAACTAAATCCAGTAGCACATCAAAAAGATATTACATCAAGATTAGATGGGTTTTATTCCAGGATTTCTAAGATGCTTCAATAACTGTGATTCACCAGATAAACAGCATTAAAAAACAAAATCCATGATCTCCTCAATAGATGCACAAAAAACATTTGGTAAAATCCAACATCCCTTCATGATAAAATCCCTTAACAAACTAGACATCAAAAAATACTTCAAAATAATAAAAGCCATATACAACAAACCCACAGCCAACATCATATGGAATGAGGAACAGGTGAAAGCATTCCTCCTAAGAACTGGAACAAGACAAAGAAGTACTGGAAGTACTATGTTAACTAGGAGTGGTGAGAATGAGCATCCTTGTCAACAGAAAGAAATAAAAGGCATCTAAATTGGAAAAGAGGAAGTCAGATTTTCTCTGTTCACTGATAATGTGGTCTTATACCTAGAAAACCCTAAAGACTCCTCCAAAAGACTATTACACTTGATAAACGACCTCAGTAAAGTTTCAGAATACAAAATCAATGTACAAAAATCAATCGGATGCTATACACCAATAACATTCAAGCTGAGAACCAAATAAAAAACTCAGTCCCATTTACAATAGCCACAAAAAAATAAAATACCTAGGAATACATTTAACCAATGAGGTGAAAGATCTCTACAAGTGGTACTACAAAACACTGATGAAAGAAGTGATAGATGACACAGACAAATGGAAAAACATCCTTGCTCATGGATTGAAGTAATCAATATTGTTAAAATGGACATACTGCCCAAAACAATATACAGATTCAATCCAATTCCTATCAAATTACCAGTCATTTTTCACAGAATTATAAAAACGTCCTAAAATTAAATAGGAACCAAAAAAGAGCTTAAATAGCCAAAGCAATCCTAAGAAAAAAGAACAAAGCTGGGAGCATCACATTACCTGACTTCGTATTATATTATAAGCCTATGGTAACCAAAGCAGCATGGTACTGATACAAAAATGGATGGAACAGAATAGAGAACCCAGAAGTAAGACCACATACCTACACCAACTGATCTTCAACAAAGGTGACAAAAATATGCAATGGGAAAGGACACGCTTCTGCACAGCAAAAGAAATAGCAGAGTAAACAGACAGCCTACAGAATGGGAGAAAATATTTGCAAACTATGCATCTGACAAAGGACTAATATCCAGAATCTGTAAGAAACTCAAACAACTCAACAAGGAAAAACCAATTAACCCCATTAAAAAGTGGACATAGTCTTTTGGTTATATATACTTACAAATTTTGTTTTGAAGTAGATAGAAGACATAGACATTACCCAAAACAAGGCATACAAGTAGCCAATAAACATATGAAAAAAATGCTCAGCATCACTAATCACCAGAGAAATGTAAATCAAAACTACAATGAGATATCTCACACCACTTAGCATGGCCATTATTAAAAAGTAAAACAACAACACATTGGCAAGGATACAGAGAAAAGGGAATGCTTATACACTGTTGGTGGGAGTGGAAATTAGTAAACCTTTATGGAAAAACAGTATGGAGATTTCTCAAAGAACTAAAAACAGAAGTATCATTTGACCCAGCAATCCCACTACTGGGGATCTAGCCAACGGAAAATAAATTATTGTATCGAAAGATACCTGTAGTCATATGTTTATCGCAGCTCTGTTAATGATAGCAAAGTCATGGAATCAACCTAAGGATCTATCAATGGATGGTGCGATAAAGAAAAATGTAGTATACTACACCACCATAAAAAGAAATGAAATTATGTCTTTACTTTGGCCATTATCCTAGGTAAAATTAGTCGGAAACAGAAAATCAAATACTGCGTATTCTCACTTGTAAGTGGGAGCTATTATGAAGGAATAATTGTCAGGGAAAAGAAGGAGGAGCTAAGCAATGAGAACACATGGACATCCAGAGGGAAATCATAGACATAAGGACCTTCAAAAGACCAAGGTGGTGGGGGTGAAGGTTGAAAAGTTACCAAGTGGCACGTTTACTGTTTGGGTTGGGTGATAAGCACACCAAAAACCCAAACCTCACCATTATGCAATGTAACAAACACGCACATGTACCCCTGAATATAATCTTAGCATATTGTGAAGCTGAATCTAACAACATACAAAAAGTATATCACTTTTGTTCTAAAAATATCAGGTTGGTTGAACACAAGATTAATGAAATTCATCCCATTAAAAGATTAAAAAAAATTATATGATTATGTTGAGATGTACAAAAAACATTCTATAACATTTGACATGCATTATAAAGAAACATTCTTAGTAAATGAGGTACAGAAAGAAAATGTCTTAATCAGGCAAAATGTTTTTCCTTATTTTGAAAAACCTACAGGAAACAAACAAAATAATGAATTGAAAGCTTTCCTTATGAGAAGGGAACAAGACAAGGCTGACAGCTCTCATCATATCTTTTGACATTGTATTAGAAGTCCTTGATAATTTAGTAAAGCTAGTAAAAGAAACAAAAGGTATAAAGATTGAAAAAGAAGAAATTTCTTTTATTCAGACGACATAATAATGTTTGTAGAAAAATCAAAATAATCTAAAAAATTGTTCGAATTAATAAGAAAATGTAGAGTTTGCTGGATATAAAATCAATATCTAAAAATCAATTGGATTTTGACATAATTAAAAAGTGAAATCACTACAATATTGTGCTTTGGTTTTTTTAAAAATTGGGATAATAGTAATACTAACCTTATGCTCTAAGTAGAATGTAGTATAGCTTTTAAGAATGTGGGCTTTGTAGTCAAATTGCCTAAGTTCAAATCTCTATTCTACCAGTTATTAGTTGTATGTCTGAAGTAGTCACTTGTCTCAAAGCATTAACTCCCTTACCTGTAAAATGAGAATTATTATACTGCTTAACTTAGGTGTTGTGAAAATTAAATGAGACAGTATATGAAACTGCTTAGCACAGTGCTTGATGCATTTATCCAATAACTTAATTTCTGTTATTATCTAAAAAAAACATTTCAGTCTAAAGCTACAGGAATGATAGGCCTGAGACTCAGAATGAAATTGATCTTGTTTCTCTAGAACCGAAAGGAATAGAAAACACAAAACACAACACTAGACTAGAGAGTGAAATATAATGAATTGGTGAGAAAAAAAAGCATAACTCCTGGATTGATGCTAGATAAAGAACACGTAGAAAAAAAGGGAAAAAAAGCTGAATAGGCTAAATATAAAATAATTACTTTAATATTTAAAACTTGTACCAAGCTTAGTGTTTTCAAGGAATAGATAATGCTGTAGGAAAAGGCTTACTATGTAAAATGGTACGTGAAAATAGGAAAATACAAAAATGATTCTACAGTATGCTCTAAATCAGCAATCCTCAACCTTTTTGTTACCTGGGACTGGTTTCATAGAAGACAGTTTTTCCATAGCCAGGGGTAGGGGGTAGGGGGTGTGGGCCTGGGAGGGTGGAGGTGCAGGGATAGTTTGGGGGTGAAACCTTCCACCTCAGATCATCAGGCATTAGATTCTCATAAGGAGAGTGCAACCTAGATCCCTCACATGCACAGTTCACGATAGGGCTCACGCTCCTGTGAGAATCTAATGCTGCTACTCATCTGACAGAAGGTGGAGCTCAGGTGGTGATGTTTGCCCATAGGGAAAAAACTAAGAATTCCCCCAAATACTAAATTATGGCTGTATGGTGATATTTAGGGTGATCTTCATGTTCTTTTTAATTTTGTGTGTTTTTCAAATTTGCTGTAATACGTGTTATTTTTATAATCAAGAAAAGTAGTAAATACTATGTTCATTGAAGATAAAAATCAATTACAAAAACATAATTCTAAGCCGGTTGACTAACACATAACTCACAAATATGCATATGTGTTACCCTGATATTTTATATTGTAATGACTGATGCCCTTAACAAAGATATGGAGCTAAATTGCTGTGAATAGGGTTGATTAACAGTATCACACATACAAAAATGGGAGGGGCAGACCCAGTCTCAGAATAATGGTCTTTGGAGGAGAATCCCTATTCCCCTTTCCTGAGATTTTTAATGTTTTTAAAGATAGAGTTACTACTTATTATATGGGAAAACAGATTTTAGAAAATTACAGAATTCCTGGTAAAGATCTGAGGATTTCCTCTCATAGCATTCTGCATTCTCCAAGATACTTGTTTTCAGCCAAGGATGAAGTGTAAGGGCCCAAAGAAGGCTGAGACTTCTTAGGAGTTATCAGGAACTCTAAAAAAATTAAGAAATAAATAAAACAAACTAAAAAACTTAAAGTGTCAGGTAACTTATCATTATATAACAATGCCCAGATATTTCTCAATTCTGTTTCCTCCTTGTCTTTGTGCCCTTAGGTGCTGATATTCACGGCTTCAGCGCTCCTAGGACCTTTGGCTTATCACTGGGAAGTGTAGTAGATGAAATACAGAGAAATGGGAAGCCCGTGGTGGCAGCAATCCAAGGCATGGCTTTAGGAGGAGGACTAGAGCTGGCCCTGGGTTGTCACTATAGGATTGCCCATGCAGAGGTAACAACCAAGGCTCTATATGGTGGCTGGTGTGTGAGGCTTTTCTTTAGGACAAACTCTAAATGTAGTTATAAGTATCAGAGGTGATTTTTATTTATTTATTTATTTATTTATTTATTTATTTATTTTTGAGACAGAGTTTCGCTCTGTCTCCCAGCCTGGAGTGCAGTGGTATGATCTGAGTTTCTGCAGCCTCCACCTCCCAAGTTCAAGTGATTCTCCTGCCTCAGCCTCCTGAGAAGCTGGGACTATAGGCACGCTACCATGCCCGGCTAACTTTTGTATTTTTAGTACAGATGGGGTTTCACCATGTTGGCCAGGCTGGTCTCAAACTCCTGACCTCAGGTGACCACCCTCCTTGACTTCCCAAAGTGCTGGGATTACAGGCATGAGCCATTGCACCTGGCCCAGAGGTGATAATTTTGAATGGTTAGCTTACTGGTTCACCACTTCAGCTGTTATGTACCAATACAGTGGTACTAATTGTTATGTTAAAATACTGTACTTCCATTCTCGTTAGTAAACACCTGCTACTCTGAGCCCTCTGTCTCCTTGCTTCCCTTCACCTTAGCTCTAGGGCCCCTATGATCCACCAGTGAAAGGGGAACTCCCGAGTCAACAGACAGCCCCAGGACTCTTCTCCAGTACTATGACCCATATCAGCTTTCACTGATGCAGTGCTCATGCAGTATGAGGTATTAAATACGTTGGCTGTCACTTCTAAGTATACATTTAAATACTTATTTGTTAACTCAAAGATTTCTGTTTCATGGTCCCTTATCAGTACCTAAGAAGAGAAATTTCTATTGGAAAATAGCACAAAACTAGTAAATATATTTATTTTTGGAAATAGGTTTAATTTAGGCTATTAGGCATGTCAGATGAGGTCTGTGATACCACTGTGTATCACAGTATGTATAATTGTAGTACTTTTGTACTTAATATATTTTTCTAATGATAAAAGTAATATCATTCTATTAAACTAGAAAACATAAGAAAATATGCAGATGTAAACTAAAATCATCATAAAAGTAATATCATTGTATTAAACTAGAAAACATAAGAAAATATGCAGATGTAAATTAAAATCATCATAAACTCACAGTTCAGAAATAATCACTATTAATATTCTATTTCATTCTAGTCTGTTTTGTGTGTAATTTTTAAATTACAGTTTCCTTTTCCTTTGAAACCCTTCTTTTAAAAAAAACTACAGGCTGGGCTCAGTGGCTCATGCCTGTAATCCCGGCATTTTGGGAGGCTAAGGTGGGCAGATCATGAGGTCAGGAGTTTGAAACCACCCTGGCCAATATGGTAAAACCACATCTCTAAAAAAAACTACAAAAATTAGCTGGGCATGGTGGTGTGTACCTGTAGTCCCAGCTACTTTGGAGGCTGAGGCAGAAGAATCGCTTGAACCTGGGAGGCAGAGGTTGCAGCGAGCTGAGATCATGCCCCTGCACTCCAGCCTGGGCAACAGAGAGAGACTCCATCCCAAACACACACATACACACACACACACACACACACACACACACACACACAACATTTGGGCTTTTATTGTATTGAGTTTATACTCTAATTTTATACTATAATATTTAACCCACTGTTAAATATTCATTATTCTGCCAACCTGTCTTTTAATTAGAGAACTTAATACACTTATATTTAATGTAATTACTGATAAGGAAGAACATACTTCTGCCATTTTGCTATTTGTTTTTTATGCTTTTTAGTTTTTTTTGTGTGTATGTGTTGTTGTTGTTGTTCAATTCCTTTATTACTGCCTTCATTTATGTTAAATGGAAAAGTGTACTCTTTTAACTTTCTTGTTGTTTCTTTTACTATATATATTTTTAGTTATTTTCTTAGTGGTGGTTAATTTGGTGATTACAATTAACATCTTAATTTATGACAGTCTAGTTCAGATTAATGCTAACTGAATTTTAATAATATACAAAAAATTTGCTCCCCTGTAGCCTTCATTACTTGCCCCTTTATGCTATTACTGTCACAATTTATATCTTTATACATTATGTACCCCTTAACATAGATTTATCATTATTGCTTTACATAGTGGTCCTAAATCACATAAGAAAAAGAGGAATCAAAAATGAAAAATACATTATTCCTGGAGTTCTTACCCATGATAGATTCTGTGTTTGAAACTGGTAACATTCAGGACTTTCATTCTAAGCCTGTCATCTCAAATCCCATTTTCAAGGAANTTCTTTATTTCTTCATGTGAATTCAAGTTACTGCCTGATGTCTTTTCCTTACAGCCTGAAGTATTTCTTATAGGCTAAATATACTATCAACAAAATCAGTTTTTCTTTATCTGCCAATGTGTTAATTTTACCTTCATTTTCAAAGGATAGTTTTGCTGGATATAGAGTTCTTGACTGACAATTGTTTTCTTTCGGCACTTTGCTTATGTCATTTCATGCCTTCTGGCCTCCATGGCTTCTGAGGAGAAATCATGTTAATCTTCTGGTAAATATTCTTTAAAAATGCTATTATAGGTGGCTACATAATATTTGATCATCTATCTATGCCAAAATTTATTTAATCATTTCCCAATGGTGTTTTAATTTTTATAAATGCTTATAAATAAATACCCATATATGTCCTAAGTAATCCTTTTCTGTGTCCTTCTTACCATAACCTGTACTCTGAGTGCAGATCTGAGTTACTAGCAATAAGTCAAGATGTAGAGATGGACAGTGGTAGAAAGAACGGTGATTGACTGTTAGGAAAACCTAGTGTAAGAGAGGCCTCAGATATGTGCAATATTTTGGAAATGCTGGAATCACAGTTCCAAAATGGCAGCCTGCATTTAAGTATCCCCCTCTCACCCTTGTACCTATAAATGGCTAACAGACTCTTAGCCAGTTTTAAATGGAATGGCCAAGAAAGGCAATGTAATAAAGGACTCAAGCTCACCTTCTTGTCTGGACTGAGATTACTGTCTGATTAAAAAAAAAAAAAGTCTTATTGAGACATAATTTGCACACCATACAATTAATTTACTTAAAGTGTGCAATTCAATGGTATATGAGTATATTCTCAGAGTTGTGCAACCATTATCACAGTAGATTTTAGAACATTTTATCACGCCAAAAAGAAACCAGGTATCCTCTAGCAGTAACCGTCCATCACCTTCTCCTGCTATCCTAAGCACCCACTAATCTACTTTCTGTCTCTATAGATTTGCCTATTCTGGATATTTCATATAAATGAAATCATACAATGTGTGGTCTTTTGTGACTGGCTTTTTTTGTGCAGCATGTTTTCAAGGTTCATCCAAGTTGTAGCATGAATCAGTTCTTTCTTTATATTCCTGAATAATGTTCCATTGTATGGATGTACCACCTTTCATTTTTCCACTAATCACTGACGGACATTTGGGTTACTTCTACTTTTTTGGCTTTTATGAACCATGGTGCCATGAAAATTTGTATACAAGGTTTTTGTGGGCATATGTTTTCATTTCTCTTGGGTATATACCTAGGAATGGATTTGATGGGTCATATGGTAACTCTACATTTAACATTTAAGGAACTGCCAAATTGTTTTCCAAAGTGTCTACTCGGTTTAAATTCCCACCAGCAATGTCTGAGAATTCTGTATTCTCCACATCCTTTCCAATACCTGTTATTATGTGTCTTTTTTTAAATGGCTGTCTTAGCGGGTATAAAGTGATATCTTGTGGTTTTTGTTTGTATTCCTCTGATGGCTGATGATATTGAGCATCTTTCAAGTACTTACTGGCCATTTGTATCTCTTCTTTGGAGAAATGTCAATCCAGATCCTTTGCCCGTTTTTAACTGGTTACTTGTCTTTTATTATTGATTTGTAAAAGTTCTTTATATATTTTAGATAAAAATCCTATGTCAGATATATAATTTGTAAGTATTCTCTCCCATTGTGTGGGTTATCATTTCACTTTCTTGTGGTTCCTAATTCTTGCAGGACTCCAGAAAGTTGTTTCTGGAGAGTATTATTTTTGTTGGCTCAGATAGGTCATAACAGAGTCAGAGAATAAATGTGCAAGAAGACTTAGGGACAGCACAGCTCTGTTTATGCTGTTAATTAAAGAAAAGGATGTGCACTAATTTGCCCTTTAGAAATCTTGCTGAATTCAATGAAACAATGTTTTTGAGAATATAGGAAATCCAGAGAAATGCTTGCCTTGACTCTGAACATATCATCTCATTCTAATGGGCTTTATGCCTTCAATCCTTGATAGGCTCAAGTTGGCTTACCAGAAGTTACACTGGGACTTCTCCCTGGTGCAAGAGGAACCCAGCTTCTCCCAAGACTCATCGGAGTTCCTGCTGCACTTGACTTAATTACCACAGGTCAGTATAGACTTTGGCAACATCTGTCTAGATTAGTGTGAAGAATTGGACTAGGATTTAGAAAAATTCTGGCTTGACCCCTACTACCTATGTAACCTTAAAAGAATTCTTGAACTTCTTGGACTCTGAATTTTCTGATCTGTAATATGGAGAAATACCTTTCTGAGCTTCTCAAACGTTATCATGAAGATCATATATGAGAGCCTTTTAAATGAGAGTGCATGCAAAGAACTAATCAAATTTAGGATTTTCTTTTAGTTCAAGGGACTACTTATAAAAACTGGTGTTCACATAGAGTGCCTTATATTTAGAACTGATTTGGAAATTATAATATAGGCTGGACACGATGGCTCATGCCTGTAACCCCAGCACTTTGGGAGGCCGAGGTAGGCGGATCACTTGAGGTCCGAAGTTCGAAATCAGCCTGTTGAAACCCCACCTGTATTAAAAGAAAAAAAAAAAAAATTAGCCAAGCATGGTGGCTGGTACCTATAATCCCAGCTACTTGGGAGACCAAGGCAGGAGAATCATTTGAACCCAGGAAGCAGAAGTTGCAGTGAGCTGAGATCATGCCACTGCACTCTAGCCTGGGCAACAGAGCGAGACTCCCTCTAAAAAAAAAAAAATGTAATATAAATGAGAATTAAAACCATAAGTTTCAAGGGTTTTTGTTTGTTTGTTTGTTTGTTTTTGAGACAGAGTTTCGTTCTTGTTACCCAGGCTGGAGTCCAATGGCATGATCTCAGCTCACTGCAACCTCCACCTCCCAGGTTCAAGTGATTCTCTTGCTTCAGCCTCCCAAGTAGTTGGGATTGCAGGCATGTGCCACAAGACCTATTTTGTATTTTTAGTAGAGACAGGGTTCATCCATGTTGGTTAGGCTGCTCTTGAACTCCCAACTGACCTCAGGTGATCTGCCTGCCTCGGCCTCCCAAAGTGCTGGGATTACATGCATGAGCCACCTTGCCCAGCCAGATCTGTCTTTTTAGTAAAAGAGGAAAATTGAACAAAAATAAGATGAGGACCTTGATATTAGACTATGTCCTGAAGAACAGGCAATAAAAAGAGCATACGCGTTAGAATCAAAGACCTGGCTTTGAGTCCCAGCTCTACCACATATAAATAATATGCCTTGTGCAACTTAATTTTTATTTATTCATCTAGCAACTATTAATTTTATCTCATATGCTGGGCGCTTTTCTAGGCATTAGGTCTATAGCAGCGAACTGAACCAACAAAAATTTCTGCCTTCATGGAGATTATATAAAGAACACAACAAAAATCACAACAATACTCTTCATTGTCATATTTCATCAATTCAAAAATGTCCTTTATCCCCACAGCTTTCAAAGTGAGATGACTTTCAAATTCATTGTAAGTCATGGTTTAATTTGCAGTGTTTTTTCTTTCCAAATTTTTGTGTTAGGAATTTGGGAGCAGCTTACCTGGGATGTAGCTCAGGGTTTGCCAGGAGATTGCAGTTAAGACACTGTGACTAGGACTATAGTCATCTGAAGGCTTGACTAGTACTGGAGGATCTACTTTCTTTCTTTTTTTTTTTTTTGAAGACGGAGTTTTGCTCTTGTCGCCCAGGCTAGAGAGTGCAATGGCACAATCTTGGCTCATTGCATCTTCCGCCTCCCAGGTTCAAGTGATTCTCCTGCTTCAGCCTCCCGAGTAGCTGGGATTACAGGCGTGTGCCACCACACCCAGCTAATTTTTATATTATTAGTACAGACAGGGTTTTACCATGTTGGCAAAGCTGATCTCAAACTCCTGACCTCAGTTGATCCACCCACCTCTGCCTCCCAAAGTGCTGGGATTACAGGCATGAGACACTGCACCAGGCCTGGAGGATCTGCTTTCAAGATGACTCACTCACATGGATGACTAGATGCTGACATTGGCAGGAGGCTTCATTTCCTCCGTACAGGGACCTCTCCATGGAGCTTCCTGAGTGTTTACACAACATGACAGCTCCCTTCCTTTAGAATAAGTGGCCTAAGAGAGAGCAAGGCAAAAGCCACAATGTCTTTTATGACCTAGCTTTGGAGTTACATGCGATCTTTTCTAAACTCTCCTATTGGCTATGCAGGTATTCTCTATTCAATATGGGAGGAAGCTTGAATACCAAGAGGTTAAACTTGCTGGGGGCCACCTTGGAGACTAGCCACCACAACTATAAACACACACATATGCCTACCTATTATATAATTTTAATATATATATGGAGTTAAGTGCTAAGAAAACACAAAACAGAAAGAGGGAGATATAAAATGTCAGGAATGGGAGGTGAATTAATATTTTAGGTAGGACAGCTAGAAAAGCCTTCTCTACAAAATGGCATCTGAATAAAGACCTGAAGAAGATAAGGAAGTTTATTATGTCAATATCTAGGGGAAGAAATCCCACATAAAGAAAATAGCAAGTACAAAGCCCTGAGGCAGGGACATGCTTGGAATGTTCAAAGGACAGCAAGAAGGTTAATGTCACTGGAATGAAATGATGCCCTACTTTGTTGGGCTTGGAAAGTTACAGAAAGAACTTTGGCTTTTCTTTTGAATGGGGAAGAAAGGCACTGGAGTGTTTCAAGCAGAGGAGTAACATGCTCTCACTTAGGTTTTTTACAAAATCACTCTGGCTGTTGAAAATATGCCAGTTGGAGACAAGAACAAAAATAGGAAGACTGAGGGCTGCTATCATAATCCAAGGGAGAGATGATGCGGACTTGGGCCTAAGTGGTAGCAATGTAAATGGTAAGATATGATCAGATTTTAGAGATATTTTGAAGGTAGAGCCAACAGGATTTTGTGACAGACAAGATGTGAGAGAAAGAGAAGAGTCAAGGATGAAATTTACCAGGATATTCAAGCAGAGCAGAGCCCACGGCAGCTCAGCAAGGGCTCTGCAGGCAGACCGTGTCACTAGACTCCCTCCTTGCTGGGCAAGGCATCTCTGAAAAAAGGCAGCAGCCTGCCAGGGAGTTATAAATAAAGTCTCCACCTTCCTGGGAAAGAGCACCTGGGAAAAGGGGCAGTGGTAGGTACAACTTCAGCAGGCTTAAATGTCCCTGCCTGGCAGCTCTGAAGAGAGCAGTAGATTTCCCAACACAGTGTTCAAGCTCTGAAAAGGGTCAGACTGCCTCCTCAAGTGGCTCCCTAACCCCCATTTATCCTGACTGGGAGACACCTCCCAGCAGGGGCCGACAGACACCTCATACAGGAGAACTCTGGCTGGCATCTGGCGGGTACCCTTCTGGGACAAAGCTACCAGTGAAAGGAACAGACAGCAATCTTTGCTTTTCTGCAGCCCCTGCTGGTGATTCCCAGGCAAGCAGGGTCTTGAGTGGATCTACAGCAAACTCCAGCAGACCTGCAGCAGAGAGGCCTGACTGTTAAAAGGAAAACTAACAAACAGAAAGAAATAGTTTCAACATCAACAGAAAGAAGGCCCACTCAAAGACCCCATCCAAAGGTTACCAACTTTAAAGACCAAAGGTAAATAAATCCACAAAGATGGGAAGAAACCAGGGTAAAAAGGCTGAAAATTCCAAAAACCAGAACACTTCTTCTCCTCCAAGGGATCATAACTCCTCACCAGCAAGGGAACAAAACTGGACAGAGAATGAGTTTGATGAACTGACAGAAACAGGCTTCAGAAGGTGGGTAATAACAAACTTCTCTGAGCTAAAGGAGCATGTTCTAAGCCAATGCAAGGAAGCTAAGAACCTGGAAAAAAGGTTAGACAAAACGCTAACTAGAATAACTAGTGTAGAGAAGAACGTAAAGGACCTGATGGAACTGAAAACCACAGCACGAGAACTTTGTGAAGTATACACAAGTTTCAATAGCCAAATCAATCAAGCAGAAGAAAGGATATCAGAGATTGAAGATCAACTCAATGAAATAAAGCGAGAAGACAAGATTAGAGAAAAAAGAGTGAAAAGAAATGAACACAAAGCCTCTAAGAAGTATGGGATTATGTGAAAAGACCAAATCTACGCTTGATTGGTGTACCTGAAAGTGATGGGGAGAATGAAACCAAGTTGGAAAACACTCTTCAGGATATTATCCAGGAGAACTTCCCCAACCTAGCAAGGCAGGCCAACATTCAAATCCAGGAAATACAGAGAACATCACAAAGATATTCCTCTAGAAGAGCAACCCCAAGACACATAATTATCAGATTCACCAGGGTTGAAATGAATGAAAAAAATGGTAAGTACAGCCAGAGAGAAAGGTCGGGTTACCCACAAAGGGAAGCCCATCAGACTAACAGTGGATCTCTCAGCAGAAACCCTGCTAGCCAGAAGAGAGTGGGGACCAATATTCAACATCCTTAAATAAAAGAATTTTCAACCCAGAATTTCATATCCAGCCAAACTAAGCTTCATGAGCAAAGGAGAAATAAAATTCTTTATGGACAAGCAACTGCTGGAAGATTTTTCACCACCAGGCCTGCCTTACAAGAGGTCCTGAAGGAAGCACCAAATATGGAAAGGAACAATCAGTATCAACCACTGCAAAAACATACCAAATTGTAAAGACCATCAAAGCTATGGAGAAACTGCATCAACTAACAGGCAAAACAATCAGCTAGCATCATAATGGCAAGATCATATTTATACATAACAATATTAACCTTAAATGTAAATGGGCTATATGCCCCAATTAAAAGACACAGACTGGCAAATTGGATAAAGGGTCAAGACCCATCACTGTGCTGTATTCAGGAGACTCAACTCATGTGCAAAGACACACATAGGCTCAAAATAAAGAGATAGAGGCATATTTACCAAGCAAATGGAAAGCAAAAAAAA